GTAGGAGAAAAAAAAAAACAGTTGCAGTCTTTTACTGCTGAGGGAAATGAAAATCTGAGTGAAACCTCAAACTGAATGTTACATAATTGTACATCGTAGGTCTTTAATTTGAATGGGGTACTACACTATAATACTTTGGATAGACCATGAGAGATAAACTGTGGTAAGTGTGAATATTTTTGTGGGTTTCATTACAGATTTCACGGGTTTCATTTTAACGGTAGGCAGCGGCTTGGCTCTGCCCCTGGCATTGCTGAAGTCCATGGGTGACGGTAACCACTCATCACCAGGTGGACCGTATGCTCGTCTGCCTACAAGAGCAATAAAAAAAGAACTCGATGTTACTCCATCATAGTAGGTGACATTCGTGAACATGTGTTATGCGTGTATGTGTAACATATTCATTGAAAAATTGAAGCCAAAGGGCGGCATAGTCGCCGCAATCATCACAAATACACCGCGGTTATTATGAACTAGGGCAATGATGCCGTCGAGCGGGGGCCAAGGAGGCGGATCTCGCCCAAGCCCTGGCCCTCTAAGTGTTTCGGGTCCCCTTCACATGTCGGTCTGGGGACCGGCGAGGTTGACCTAAGAAGACGACGTGCAAGCTGCTCTGCACGCGTTTTACGCAAGAGCATCCGGGTGATGGAAGGCCGGCTATCCTCGACCCACGCTGGTTCTGACCCAGCGGGGTATTCCGTAGGATAAGTCACTCTAACCGGCGCCATCTAGGCGGGTTTCGGATAACCTGCCGACCGAAAGGGCTGGTGGTCGTGGCGCCGACGACCACCGGTCCGGCGTCCCGAGGGGGAGGGTGATGGGAGAGATGTGCTCCGCACTAAGCACTTCACTTTCCCCCCTTTGCCTTTTCATGAGTTCTGTCTCATGTTAGTTTATATATAGTTAGATTGAAGCTAGAGTATAACAAATGAACACATAAAGCAGTAATATTGATTGAGTCATTCAGCATTTGAACCTGACGATAGGACGGCCTTTCTTACTTGAAGAGTCGATTTTAAATTTAATACGAAATAATTCTATGGAGCGTTTAATATTTATCACATAAAACCGAGTTCAATCTTCTGAATTGAAGCCGTGTACGGTGGTCCGGCGTCGTGTGTGTGCCGTGCTCGTAAAGCCTCACATTCATCCCGTGGCCCTAAAGTATCCGCAGATCAATATCGGCTACCGATCAAGTGCCGCAACACTATTTTGTGATGTATATGTAATTTGTTATCACTAATTTTATATGAAAAGAACCGTTACAAGTTTCATTCAATTAAAAAAAAATGGATGTAATAAAAAAATTGTCTTCACGCATTCACGAGAATAAGTAAGCCGAGAGAGCTCGAATAATAAACATCTATCACTTTTTTTTTAACCTATGCTAATAGCCTTGAGAGGCTATTTCAGCTTCACCCTAGCGTGTACATGAGCTCTCGGGACTCAAACCGGAAGTGTTGCTAACACTGGCCCTAGCAAGAGTAGTGCTTCGCAAAATCTACCACGGGCTCGGAAACGCGACTCATTGAGAAGATCCAGCGAGAAACTCGGTGGGGTGTGTCTATGGGTCAATTTACTCGCCGAGCCCTTTGTCGTGAGCGACGGGTTTGGCGAGGACTGCGACGTGTATCTAAAACAAAGAAGCTGCCTTAAGCCGGGATTCGATTCCGAACCGCGTGGTACTGTAATTGGGGTTACTAGACCAACGAAGCAATGAAATGGTACGTCTTAAATACGTTTTTATAATTTACGTAGATGTTTAAGTTGTAGGTATGCTAGCGATTGGTATTAAGTCTTGGTTTTTGACATCGACAACGGGTGACGGCCAGAAAAGGGGATGATGGTAAAATTATGATTGTATTTCTAGTCACCTTCTGTTACTGGAAGAATAAATGATAATAAGCCATTATCAAGCCTAAGCAGATTTGAACAAATATATGAAATATAAAAAAAAAGTTAGTTTGAAGTCATTCACATAGAAATAGCGAATTGTATTATTTTTCTTAAACTTCGATGTGCGGTTTAGAGGTGTATTTAAATGTATAGCAAGACTTAATATGTATTTGTTTCGAATTTCATTAGGAGATACTCTCATCTGCAACGAAATGATGTCTTGTGTGTGCATTTTCTTAGAGTTTGTCTGGTAGAATCATTTAAAAACACTTTTACGCTTATTAAAGCGATGATTACATCGTCATAATAACATTTTTATCATTACATAAACTTAAAATATGTTTATACAAAACTTAATTGAATAATTAAACTAAAACGATAATTCATCATTAAACCAAATCTTAAAGGTGCATTTAGAATACATTTAGTTTAATTGAAGTTTTATTAATTATTTCGTAAAAGTGTTCTTAAATAAATGAGTGTAGCCATTTTAAATTCTAAAGCTCTCAATGAAAATATTGCTAAAGCTGTTTCACATAATCATACAATCAAGTGGTAGTCTATATGTATGTAGGTATATTAAAGTATATCCGTAGGTAATCGTCGGTGGTCAATCCCGCAGAACATCGTAAAGTTTTTACTACACCCCCAACGTAATCATTTCAACATATAAAATAATCTTTCAATCATAATGGAGAGTTAGTGTATTAATTGCTTATTGGTTTCCATTATATTCTATAATTAGGTACCGATCAATAATTTGAGGATATTACGAAAGTATTCCTTTTGTGTGTGTGTTTTAAAAGTTTTATACATTTTTAGGGTGGTCTAGGTTTGATTCGGTTGTAAAGTTTCTTTTTAGTTAATTTAATGTTCGATTCGGTGTTTTATAGTTAAATTGTTGTTGAGTGGCTACCTTCGCCCGTGGACATCAGCAATGCCAGGGGTAGAGTCAAGCCGCCGCCTACTGTTAAGTACTCTCCACAAGCCTCCTTTGAAGAAGGACACGTCATAAAATTTAACTGTTTTTTAATTTTTAAATAAACTATTAGTAATTGAATAAGAACTGTCTAATGAACTCATCTTTGTTTAATACTTCACTATTAATTTTTTTTTGTCTTTTGTTTATTTCACTTTTACACTAAACACAATATTGCAAATTACCCGAGCACAACAATGGTGGAGAATTTTAGGTGCGTGAGAGCAGACGTACACACTACACCTATGGAGAAAAGTTACACTTTCTTCCCTGTACAGCGGTACGAAAACCGAACTTTCGGCGTAGGTAGGAGACAAAAATAATGTCCGTATGCAGGTACTAATTTTTGTAATGAAATACGTAGTTATTATAAATTGCACTGAATAAAATCGTGTATTTAAAAATCAGATCCTCGTGAATTATAAGTTGCGTTATCACCGGGCGTGTTGTGTTTTAAATTAATTTTACAATTCCGAATATGTTGCCGTTTCCATAATTACGTTTGCCCGCGAGTTTATCAGATGATAGATCGGTTTCGTGGATTCGCGTAACGTGACACAGTTCTCATTATACATAAGTAGGTAGTCCGTAGTCGACGTAAATTTAAAACGTAATGATCGTAACAATAAAACCCGGGGCGGCTGACTCACCGCTTCTCGGGATCGTTCGATACGAAACTAATATTATATTTTTTATTTGCTTTGGTGGTGCTGCCAAAACCGCTCTGCACTTTTTAATGTTGTTATAGGTTGATTAAGAATAATACGTGGCTACGATGTGACTATAGTTTCCGAAGCAAACGCAAGAGTTGACGATAAAAGTGTTTATTTAAATGAGTGGGAAAACCGCGGTTTTTTTTTATTTACCTTTCGTCCTCGGAGCCCATAGATATCCACAAATTAAATGCCGCCGCCCATATCGAGACCTGGGTTCTAAGTTTCAGTATTTACAGTACAACGCCTGCCCCACTCTTCACACCGAAACACTTTACTGCCTCTTGGGATAGGCAGGGTGATAGGGGCGGATAGAATTAGGTAGTGTGATAGTACTTACAGGTGCGGACTCTCAAGACGCCCTACCATCAATAATTATGCAAATGAATTTTTTTGCGGGTTTAATTTTTATTATACGATGTTATTCCTTCACCGTCGATTTTAATGGTGAACATTTGTTAAGTATGTATTTTATTACAAAAATTGGTAGCTACTTGCGGGACTCGAACACCGGTGCATCGTTAGATACGAATGCACCGGACGTCTTATCCTTTAGGCCACAACGACTTCAACATTTCCAACCTTTTCAAAATTATCTTTCCAAGTCCAAGCGCCAAATATGCAATCCGTGCAGTAATTTAGCGACAAATAAAACAATCAATTCACACACAGTTTTAAAAATCATTTAATGTTTATTATGGTACATTAATCAGGTGATTAAGCATTGCACTGCGCCCACCAGGGTTGGCACTGATTGTAGCACTTCGTCACTGACATTACATGGATTAAGGCGTTTCGGCGAATCTCGGAATATGCGGGTCAATGCTCTTTAGTACGAATTGAATGACACTTTTTGGACTTAATTAGAAACCCGCAAGTTTTTTTCTTTAGTTATTATAAATGAACCAGCTCGTAGCCCTAATTTTGAGAGGTTATCGAAGCTCATAGCCATAATGACGTGAAGGCCAACACTTTAAGTCATGAGCTGCAACTGTCAATGTTATTCTATAACGGTTATTCCATCTTTCAAACCTGAACTCATTGCGGCTTTGCAGACGAAATAAGCTTATAAAGGAACTTTCGTCCGCGCGGGTAGGTACCACCACCCTGCCTATTTCTGCCGTGAAGCAGTAATGCATTTCGGCTTGACGGGTGGGGCAGCTGTTGTAACTATACTGAGACCTTGGAACTTATATCTCAAAGTGGGTGGCGCATTTACGTTGTAGATGTCTATGGGCTCTATAAAACCATGGGCTGTGAGCTCGTCCACCAATTTAAGCAATAAAAAAAACTTATTCGTTGTAAATTCAAGGGTCATAACAAGCAAATACACCTATATACGAGATAAAATTCTGTAACAATCAGGCATGGGACGTGGATCCGTGGGACAGTGTTATTTTAACTACACTAACCGTTAGGGAAACGTGATAATTCTATCTTGGAGGCTCTAGCCAGTCCTCTCTCGTTGTTATAAGGCACCCTGCCCCGCACCAGATGATCATTGGTTGTTCCGCAGAGCTTCCAGATTTTAGTTGGCTCTGCCCCTGGCATTGTTGACGTCCATGAGCGACAGTAACCACTCACCATCAGGTGGGCCGTATGCTCGTCTGCGTATACGGCAATAAATAATAATAATAATATTAGTAGTGTACATACATCAGTGGCGTACCGATCTAAGCTCGCGCCTAGGGTACAATACCCTTTTTAGCGAACCTCACCCCTTTTTTCCTTTTTATTTACGAATTGACATTTATTATATTACACTGGCATTTAGTTCGAAATACATTTTCAAGAAATCAATTTAAAAAAAATTCGAATATTATCCTGCAATTTTTTGTTTTGCGGTTCGTTTGGCACCCCCTTGTGATTAGCGCCCGGGGCATGATGGCCCCCTTTGCCCACTTCACTATGCCACTGACATACATGTAAGTTAATCTGTTTCTAGTTTCGCACTAAATGGATTTTGGCAAAATTTGTTTCATTCTGTCGCTGACAGTAGTTATAGACTAGACAGTGACAGAATGAAGAGGTCGCGTGGAAGCTGGTACGGGTGACATCCCATAAGACAGGTGGTACCAAGACGTTGCCAGGAGAGCCCCTAATTCCATTTTAGTTAAAAAGTAAACGAAACTTTGGCGAATCTATATTTTTTAGGTTTTGTTCAGTTTTTTTTTTTTTTTTTTCTTAGATGATTGGACGATCTCACAGCCCTACTGGTGTTAAGTGGTTACTGGAGCCCATAGACATCTACAACGTAAATGCGCCACCCACCTTGAGATATAAGTTCTAAGGTCTGAAGTATAGTTACAACGGCTGCCTCACCCTTCAAACCTACTGATGCATTACTGCATTACTACTTCACGGCAGTAATAGGCAGGATGGTGGTACCTACGCACGCGGTCTCACAAGAGGTCCTACCACCAGTAACTACGCAAATTATAATTTTGCGGGTTTGGTTTTTATTACACGATGTTGTTCATTCACCGTGGAAGTCAATCGTGAACATTTGTTGAGTACGTATTTCATTAGAAAAATTGGTACCTGCCTAAGATTCGAATACCGGTGCATCGCTCAACACGATCATTTTTTTACTATTACTATGGTTGAATTATGATATGTGAAAATTTAAATTACAATACCGACGAACGTATAAAATTATCGTTTATTTGTACGATTATTTTGAGAGCTTCATCGATTTTATTTCCTACGAACTGAAGGTATTATCGTGTCAGTTACAAAACAACAAACACAGTTGCATCCTGCACTGTTTACTCGCGGTCAAGTTGAAAAACCCTCACGTAGTACGCATGCACCCACCAGGGGACGGGGGGAGGGGCCGAGGAATTCTACTACGATACGATGCCGGCCGATGGTGCCCTTTTTTGCGGCAATCGGGTTTCTTTTACTTGTACAGGGTTGGCACATATCAATAATTTTAAATTCAATAAGTACTCGTTGTCTTGAAAGAGGTGTATTTTATTGTGCTCAAGCAAGGGGACTGAATAGGTAGAGAAGCGTCATGGTAATTTTATATTATTTTATATACTTGAAAGTACCACGTGAAATTAATTTGTGAAATGAGACAAATAATGAAATGCCCTTTGCCTTATTTAACTAGATATATTTAGATATTTAGATATATTGTCAATTTCAAAATGAGCAGTAAAATTTCTCATAATTGGAGGACTGGATGAGAGAAGCCGAGGATCGTGCTTAATGGCGAGCAATTGGAGAAGCCTATGTCCAGGAGTGGACTAATAGGTTGATGATGATGAAAATTTCTCAAGGTCAAGGAGCCCATAGCAGACGCCCATGTGGAGGAATGGGGTATTGCTGATTAATAAAATAGTAAGTTCAATTTATTATTTTACGTTAGCATTAATTTCTAAAAAATGTTAAATTATTATAGTCTACTAGTATAAATATTTAAGTATACATAGTTTTAATTATGTTTACTACTCACAAATACCGAAATAAATATGTATCTTTATATCTTAAATATGTAAATTACTTTACTCTCTTGGATAAGTTGTTATACAATATACTACAATAGTATGCTTCTATTTTGCGTCTAGTTTTATCAATTTCATACTATTATAAGCAGTCTATTTTAAGTATGTACCTACCTATATACAATTAGAGAAAGTACAAGTAAAATATTAAAACTAAATATCAGAACGCAGGTTTTTAATATTTATATTTATTGTAATTCAGTGTGCGGGAGCCCTGCGAGGGATGTCGGGCAAAGTCTGGTTTTTTCGTTAGCGCCGAGTTTGGCGTGGCGACTCCATAAACAGTTATAGTCGCAAGGCAACCCCACTGAATTGTTTATAAATGATGAGCGCTCAACGACTATATCTTATACGATTGTGTTAAGTGAGCTTTTTATTACATGTGTATCAATTTTTTAATTCTATTTTAAACTACTCTTCAGNTTTATTGTAATTCAGTGTGCGGGAGCCCTGCGAGGGATGTCGGGCAAAGTCTGGTTTTTTCGTTAGCGCCGAGTTTGGCGTGGCGACTCCATAAACAGTTATAGTCGCAAGGCAACCCCACTGAATTGTTTATAAATGATGAGCGCTCAACGACTATATCTTATACGATTGTGTTAAGTGAGCTTTTTATTACATGTGTATCAATTTTTTAATTCTATTTTAAACTACTCTTCAGTGAGAGCTTAGGTTACTATTCCAAGTGGCATGCGCTTTTCCAACCACCTTGAGATATAAGTTCTAAGGTCTCAATATAATTACAACGGGTATCCCATCCTTCAAACCGAAACGCATTACAGTTACTGCTTCACGACAGAAATAAGCGGGGTGGTGGTGCCAAAATTAACGCCTTAATAGGGCGTCCATTTGCAGAAATACTACATATAACATATTTTATAACACCTAGAAATTACTGTCAAGCTGTAAGCCTTCTAAGGCAGATATTACAACTTGAGGAAAAAATACTGTTTAAACAGAAATAATGACCAATGAATTTGTCGCATCAATAATTAGGGTACGTACTGCAGTCAGCGAAAAACTGAAGTCTTTTGTCGAACTCGAGATAATCGCGCCTCGACTCAGCTGTTTAGCGTTTTTACATTTCTATAAACGTTTTGTATTTATTGTATCGTTTACGTATAAGGTATTGTCTTTATTGAAATTGAAATGTTTAGAAGAATTGATATAGATTTTGCCAGAAGATTTAGTGGCTTTAGGGGATATAGTTAATTGGTCTAGATCAGGGGTTCCCAAACTTATTTTGTCTACAGCCCACTTTGAGAATACATTATTTTTTAGCGCCCCCATTTTTTCACCTACTTCAAAAACTACTATAGCGAGACCTCAGTCGGCGTCTAAGAGTCCTCCTAGATGAAATTACAAATCGCATCCCCAAGCGTATACACAACGCCCCCATTTTCTTCTGGGTCTCTTAACGCCCCCTTTAGGCCTGTAGTGCCCACAAGGGGGCGTCATCGCCTATTTTGGGAAAGGCTGGTCTAGATCGGTCGACGAGCCTTCGCTAAACTTGTATATTATGTGGTTACCGGAGTCCATAGATATCACAACGTGACTGACGCCGTCCAAATTGAGATCTAGTCGTAGTCGTTGGAACGGTAAGTGTTTGGTGTGAGCATACGTAAACAGCAGACGATCATACTACCTCACATGAACTTAAAATATCACCAGTGCTTAGAACAATTAGGGAGAGGTGTTAAGGAAGACAGTTAGAACTAATTTTGTATTTTTATTGATCGTGACAAACAAACGCAGCTGCTCAGCAGGAAGCTCATGTTCTTAGTGGTCGTCCAAGACCACAGGCATCACAACATAAATGCCTTTTTCCATTGGTCCAACACTCGGTCTATTGTTTAAAGCTGAATGCTATTTTATCACACCATCGCTAAGTTTATAATATTCTTCAAAATTGCGCAAATTTATGCCATTACTTCGTCTGTCCGATAAATAAATTCCCCAAAACTGCGCCAAACTAATTCCTCAATTATCCACGACCTTACCCAACAATGTAAGCTGCCCTAAGTGAGGTATTTAACCGCCTCAGGCTCAGTGGTCCTCAGTGAGCGTGAGGTGTATGGTAGCAAATTCCAGGTATAGCTAGCATTCCTGCGACGAGGATTCGATCGCGTGACATTGATATCATTGGCCGATCAACTGGTATCCTTGATAATTGCTTCTGTCTGGCTGGAATGGGGTTATATGTATATGGATTTGATTACGCTCGTGACACAGCGATTCTCTAACGAACGATCCTGTATTCGAGGTTGGGCAAGCACTGTTCAAGCCGAAACACAGTTGTTCATTAATAACAAACAAAATTGTCGTAGAAGATGTTTGTAGACACGTTAGTAATGTATGGAAAAATTGGTGATTGGCCCATGATGAAACCCGACATTAACATACTTGATACCAATGCATTGAATGTCTTTTTCATTATGAGACAAAGCTTAAATTTATTGAATGCAAAAATGAAAACACTATTCTCAAAATGTTTTAAAAAGTTGTCGGATTATCGCCCTAAAAGCATACAATGAATGCTTTTACCATATTATGCCTACCTGATTCGGTATTTTAATAAAAAATCAGCAAGCATTAGTATTCAAGAATTTGGCATGCATCGGAACATTAACCGATTTAGAGAAAAGTCGAATGGTTCGATGACATTCGCTTAGCGGTCGCCCGGTCAAACTTTCACAGGATAAGACCAATTTTATTTCTGACTACGTTTAACTGTCGTGACGCACCTGGACGGATCAACGTTATTAATTCAGTAGCTAAAGTCGAACAGCTGCTTAATATGTGATTGTCGAACTAATCCTAAAGCTGTTTCTGGGAATAGATCCCTTTCTTCCGGCGAGAGCGCATCCCTAACGATTTTAGGGTCGCGTTTTATTTGCTCGAATTGGGACGAAAAGGGAATCATGTACGTCTTCAATATACGCCGGAGATAATAGGTAAGTTATTGAAACCCGCAATCTAAAGCCAATGTTGCCAGTGGATCTCTGTCTTACATAAAGGAGTTCGTGCGTCTACGCTTTTTAA